CCTGAAAAGTAGAGGTTGCAGTGAGCCGAGACTGCACCACTGCACTCCCACCTGGGTGACAGAATGAGACCCTATCTCAAAAAAAAGGATAAAAATAACAGCTACACGCAAAAAAAGCAGTTTTCTATAAAAAAATCTATAATCTGCAAATAATATCATGAATGACTATACTGACAAACCTAAAAATTTTTTTCTTTTAAATAAAAAAAAAAAAGACATAGGATCTCACTATACCGCCCCAAGCAATCCTCCTGCCTCAGCCTCCCAAAGTGCTGGGATTACAGGCTGGAAAAGTTAAATAGAATTTAATGCTTAGGGTCTCTCACTGTAATCCATACTAAGGTATTTTGAACAAAGTCTCAAACTCAGTAAAATTTTTTACAGCAAAGTGAGTCACAAGCCAGCTCCATCAGTCTCCAGGTGGAATATGATTTCCAGCCATTTGTTTATAAGTCACCTGCCATTTGGTCCTCACATTTACACTATGCTCAGTTCTCCTTTAGCTTACAAGTCCAAAATGGCCACACTGAAGTGAGACATATAAAGAGGGCTTGGCATTAAGATGTATCAAAAATGAGAACTTAAAGGGCATCAGACTATTTTTCCCATACTCCATTTAGGGAAAGAAGATGAAGGAAAGTACACACAAGAGTTTATTCCAACACAAGAAAAAAAATGAAGACAGAAAAGAAAAATAAACTATTATTACTTTACTTCATTTTAAGCACTGTCCATAGTGACAAAAATCCAAAAAATAGTTAAAACTTGACCACCAACAAAATGAATGCCAGTTCACTCACTACGCCAGGCACAAAGCTAAGGGTCTGTGCTATAGTCTGTGGTATTTATCTCTATTTACAGTTAATTCAAACAAGAAACACAATGGTGAAATAAACACCTAGCTTACTGTAGGTCTCCAGGACCATAAAAGAAAGAAGTAACAGAGCCAAGATCTGAAGTCAGGCAATGTGGCAGTAGACTCCAACTCATAATGACACTAGCCCTCTGCAAGCACTGCTAGAGTACAGACCATGCTCAGGGAAATGCTCTTCAAGAAGATAACCAGAAACAACGTTTAGCAATATATCCAGGACTGCATGGAACTAATGCTCAAATACAGTTTCAAAATGCAGAGGCAAAGAAAACAAGCATCAAAGAAGAAAAAGATGAAAAGCTGAAGAACAATTAGAGAAGTGGCTCTATGGGCACAATCAAGCATGGGCTCACACAGCTGCTGGAAAGTGGGATCTCCGACGTAGGGAGCAAACAAAGGCAGGCTTGGCCAAGACTTCCCAGGTAAATATCAACCCTAGCTAGATTAAAAAGATTTTTTTTTTTTACTCCCTTCTGTAGTTGTGGGTATCAAAAAATACACCGATCTAAGGATACCACTGAATATTGAAGAAACACCATCCTCTTTGCACTTATCAAATCAAAAAGCAGCAATCAGGATTTTGGCTTCCTTTTTCTGAAAGGGGAAGAAAAGTCTTACCCCTACTATCTAGAGTATAAGGAATCATGCACTCCATTTTATTGAATTCTTTTTTTTTTCTTGAGACGGAGTTTCCCTCTTGTTACCTAGGCTAGAGTGCAATGGCGCGATCTCGGCTCACTGCAACCTCCGCCTCCTGGGTTCAGGCAGTTCTCCTGCCTCAGCCTCCTGAGTAGCTGGGATTACAGGCATGCGCCACCGTGCCCAGGTAATTTTTTGTATTTTTAGTAGAGACGGGGTTTGTTGACAAGGATGGTCTCGATCTCTTGACCTCGTGATCCACCTGCCTTGGCCTCCCAAAGTGCTGGGATTACAGGCGTGAGCCACCGTGTCTGGCCCATTTTATTGAATTCTATCCTTGCTAAAGGGACAAATTCAACTTACATTTACATTCTCTTCCAAATCCTTCTAGCCACATTCCAACCAAACCAATGAACTGAATGCTCAACTTTTCAGAAGCCCACTGACAACTAAAAGGGACCCTTCTGCTGGGTTTTTATCTCAATCCTGACCTTGTCAATACTGACCTTCCTAATGAAGGTCAGGATTGAGATAAACACCTAATGAACTTCCTGGTAGTTATTAAGAAGCTAGTAGGAGTGCCAAACTGTCCCCAAGCTGCAAAATAAGCCACTTTTACCTTGCCAGATTAAGTGTTTAATTATACAAAATGCAGGAATGCTGCCTGCTACCCACTTAGAAGTATCTGCCAAATTCCCCCCCCAAATTTATATTCAAGTATTTAATCAGAACTATTCTCATTTAAATTTAGTACTACTTACTGCTGACTGCACTTGTGACACTACCTTGCTAATTTTATTGGTTCTATTTAAGGGAACCAATTATTCCTACAGCTGTATGCCTCTTCTCTAAAGACCACACCCTGAAAAGAAGAAAAAGTGTGAGGCTATCCAGAGTATTATCCACACACTCCTTGAATCAAATAAAATGATACTACACTATTGAATTCCACAAGACACAACTTAGCATTTGTTAGGCAAGAAGGGATGTGTTTTCATTGTACAGAAACAAGATACAAAATCAAACTAATGCAGACTAACAATCTAGTATTTACAATAATCCAAGAATCGTGATATTTAAAATAAAATTAATGTTTGTCAAGTTTTCTGAGCAGGAAAACTAGAAACTGTAACCATTTTTAAATAAAGTAATCAAATTAAAGATTATTTCAGGGTTCAACTGCTGAACCCACCTTCTTACAAAAAAAGTTAGCACTAAAGAAACTGCTAATGGGCCGGGCGCGGTGGCTCACACCTGTAATCCCAACACTTTGGGAGGCTGGGGCAGGTGGATCCCGCGGTCAAGAGACTGAGACCATCCTGGCCAACGTGGTGAAACCCCAGCTAGCTTCGACTGAAAGGGACACAATCTCCAAGCACACAACGGCACCAAATCCAGAGGACACTCACATTTGTACACGGCCTAGGCTAAGAGCTTGGTATATAAAAACAGTAAAAATGTGTTGCCTTCCCCTTCAAGCAAAAAACAACTACTAACAAGAGCAAAACAATAAACAGTGGTACCCCCACACCACAGTAATACTCGCCAATCAAAAGGCAATGAACTATGCACATCTGCAATGCAAACTCGATGGGTAAATCTTATCATAGTAACTGGAAGAAGCCAGACACAAAAGGCTACGAGGACTAGACGGTTCTATTTAGGAAATAATGGAGAAGAAAAAAACAGCAATCAAATCAGTGACTGTTAGGGCTGGAGTGGAGGTGACAGATTTAATCTACTTGTTAGTTAAAAAAAAAAATCAAAGTATACATCCAAAAAGGGTGATTTTACTGTATGTAAACTACACGCCAAGAAACCTTATATTTTTAAATAAAGTATTATTTCAAAATTCCCTTTTTGGACAAAACCAAGAGCCATTCTAAAGAGAATGTTCAAGACCCTCAAGCACGGATGGATGATGCTGAAACAGTTTACTCATTCATAATTTAAGAAACAGCTATAGAGAAATCAAACTTAACCACTGGGCACTATTTAACCATGTTGCCTTTTTTCAGTATGGTTGGACTACTACTTTAATAGTTCCTCATTCCCTCAAGTAAGTGTTCCTTTTCACCACTTTGTAACCAGTTCTCAAATTACTGTCCCAAAAAAGTGTAGTCTTCTCAAAAAACATCTCACCGTAAGAGCTATTTTTCCTACAGAATGCTGTGGCCATTTGCACATTCTTATGCAAAAACAGTAACTTGAGAGTCAAGAAGCAGCTTCATAGCCTGTTCCAATCTATACTGGTATTTTTTAAAAGCACAAAAGTCCTTTACTGTTCTGAGCAGCTCTTAAAATGTAGCCTATTCCAACCTACATTGATATTTTTAAAATGCACAAAATTCCATTACTGTTCTGAGCAGCTCTTAAAATGTAGCCTATTCCAACCTACATTGATATTTTTAAAATGCACAAAATTCCATTACTGTTCTGAGCAGCTCTTAAAAAGTCTGAAAGCATTTTAATTTAATCACATTTTTCTTAATATTAACAAAGTCAAACCTTTTTCCTAAAAAACCTTGCCATTACTCGGATCACCTGAGGTCGGGAGTTCAAGACCAGACTGACCAATATGGTGAAACCCCGTCTTTAAAAAAAACAAAAACAAAAAAAACAACCTTGCCATTCCTGCTGAGCAGTCTAGGAAAGAAAACAACAACAAACAAACAAAAAAAAACCTTGCCAAAAAATTCAACCCCAAATTTCCCAATCTAATAATCAGTAAGGCACAAAATGTAAAGCCACCGTTACCATGAGAGCACAAAGGCCAAGAACGTTTACCAACACATCTTCATGTCATCACAAAGCGGGGAATTAACTCCAGAAAGGCACCCTCATAAAACACAAACCGATGGACAAAACTCTCATCAAAGCTCCTGCCGGCAACTTATACCCAGATATAGGATCGTTTTGACAGAAAACACTTGATGGAATTGCTAGAGAAAAGCACTCATGCACGTCCAATTAGCAAGCTTTCAAGCACTTCAACGCCATCAGACTGCCACACTCTCAAATGCCTAACTCAAGAATCTTCTCTATAAAGTTCGCCCCATCTCCAACTGTGGTACAAAAAACATCAACTCTTCTCTCAGTCTTTTCCAGAGGGAAGAAAGGCTTCAAGTTCAAGGCCTCTCAACCCGGGCACTACTGACTTTACGGGTAGCACAATTCTTCGCTGAGGCGGTAGTGGGGGGCTTGGGCACTGCAGGACCTTTAGCAGCCTCTATCTACTGGGTGCCAACAGCAGTCCCCTCTCGGAGAAGACAACCAAAAATGTCCCCAGGCGTTGCCATCTGTGGGGGGGGGGAGGTGTCAAAATCGCCTCCGGATCTAGCTAGAGCACCGCCGGGATTCTCAAGTTGCAACGTATTCAAGATTAGCAGCTGGGTTGGGGAGCAGAAAACACACTTGGAACGCAGGGCAGACACCCTGACGCAGGCGGCCCTTCCCTGAATCGGCAATGCAGCAAGGTTATCTTTACCTTTGTAGAGGTTGGTGACGGCGGTGGCTGCGTTTTGGAAGGGGACCCAGAGAGAAAGTCCTGGCTGCTGACACACTCGGTCTGAAAAGCAAGCCCAAAAAAAAAAAAGAAAGAAAGAAAGAAAGAAAAAAACACACACATAGAAAGAGAAAGAAACAGAAAAAGAATGTTATTTGGGCGTCAATCATTCCAAAACGGCCATATTAGGTTTCGCCATTTTGTTCAAGGGTTTCGGGATCCCAAACCCAGTGGAAAAACGGAGGGTAGGGGCGATCGAGGCGGAGAGAAAGGGAAGCCGTAGGGCTCAGGGGCGCAGATCAGGGACGATCGGCGGCGCAGGGAGGCGCCCCCCCTCGGAGTCCCCGCCCCGAGGCCGGCTCGGGGCACAATGGGGCCGCCCCGCCGTCTCCCTTCGCCATTTTGTGACCGGGGGCTCCTCCCCTCCCCCTGCCGGGCCGAGGGGAACACCCGGCGGCCGGACCCGGAGAGCGGGGTCCTAGGACGGCACCAAAGCGGGACTCCCCCGACGCCGGCCCCGGCCTGCCCCCGGCCGCGCCTGCCCCCCAACCCTGGACCTCCCTCCCGCGGCGCCATCTTTCGAGGAGGGGGCGACTGGGCCGCGGCGCCACCGGCCAGGATCCCTGAGGCCGCCGCCGTCGCAGCCCCCAGAAGCGGCCGCTGAGCCTACAAGGCCCGGCCCAGGTGGGGGCGGCCAGGCGGCACCAAGATGGCGGCGGCGGCCTCACCTTTGTAGAGCTGAGCGACGGCGGTGGCCGAGTTCTGGAAGAGGTGCCACAGCTTCTGCTGCTTGTGTTCGGGCTGCGCGGCGGCCGCTGCCTCCTCCTGCAGCTCGGGTGGCAGCTGCTCGTCCTGCTCGGCCTCGGCCAGGCACTGCCGCTCCCACTTGGAGAACCAGTGCTCGGGCCCGTGCTCTTGGATCTCGGCCTCGCCCTCCTCCTTCCGCTCCTCCATCCTCCGCGGCCTCCCGCGGCCTCTCCGCCGCCGCCGCCGCGTCCTTCTCAGGTGGGGCCCCCGCGGGAGCGTCGTCGTCGAACGGCCCGGCGACAGGGCCTGGCGGCCGACAGCGCCTTCTCCTTGCACCGACCCAGGCCTCCAGTACCCCGACGGCCGGCTAGCCCCGCCCCACTGCCCAGCGCAACCAGGGACGACCCCCGCCCCAGGCCTTCCCACCCCCGGGCCCGACCGAAGGTCGCCCCGGACCAGATGACCGCTGCCGCCCCTCGCCTCGCCCTCCGGAGCCGATCTAACGCTCCCTCATGGCGCAGCGGCCTCCCCAATGCCGCTGCCGCTGACCGCCGAGCCCTCCACGCAGTCCAGCCTGCGCCGCCGAGCCCACCCCAAAGACTGAACGACGTCGTCGCCGCCGCCGCCGCCAACGACGCCTCTGCGGCTGCTGGTCCCCGCCCTCCCCCGCCCACAAGCTATCTTGAGAAGCGCCGCCCACTGGGCCTGAGCTCCCCAGCCTGGTTGAGGCGCGGCCGTTCCAAGGGCCCCTATTGGTCGGATGTGACCGGTTCCGCGTGCCGGCTTCTGAAAACAGCGTCGTGATTGCTTGGTTTCTCGTACTGTCTGCCTGAAGTAACCAATGGGCTGGGGGAAGGGAGTAAATGTCAGGAAGGATGAAGAGGGAGGGGGAAGAGCTAGCAGTGGTGGCATCCGAGCCAAGTTGGGGGCGGGGTGGGGGGTGGGGTTGTGGAATAGAGAGCATGCGCATGCGCACTTGCTCGCTACCCGCGAGCTCTGGGCAGACCAGTGAGGATCACGTGACAAAACCCATCAACCGCACCCCACGGGAGCTTTTCCGGCGTTTACAGGCCCTGGGGTATGCGAAATCAAGTGCGGCAGCTGTGCCTTGGACTTGGAGAGGTGTGGTGGGTGGCTGCGTGCTTACTCCAGCACCTGGGACTCCCAAAGGGAGGAGGGAAGTAGAGAAAGTGAATAAAACCCCCAACTCCGAGTTTGCAAAGAGTTTTTCTATTCTTTTATTTGAGTCCCCCAACTCTTTATTTTGAGACGGCGGTCTCGCTACATTGTCAAGGCTGGTCTGGACTCCTGGCCTCAAGCGATCCTCTCGCCTCGGCCTCCCAAGGCGCTGGGATTTAGAGGCTTGAGCCATCGCGCCCGGCACAGAGTCTCATTTCTTAAATGGGCAAATCGAGTGTCAGAGCCAAAGAAAGGCTTACGAATTGGGAAGTCGGCTCAGCGGCCCCTGCGCCCTGACCCCCCCCTCCCGGGACATTGCGCTTTGGGTGGACATGACCTCGACGACCACCTTGCCGCCCGCAGAGCCGAGGATAACCCGACGGGCGAGGCTGCGGAGGGCCCGCACACATCTTCGTCTTCGCGCTCCCGGTGGCCCCCGCACCTGTCCCGAAAAGCACACTCCCTGGCCACGTGCACGCCCGGCGTCACGCACCAGCCCCTGCCTCCCCCTGCCGGAACCCGCGGGGCGGCGGCTACCCCGCAGGGCGGGATCTCTGGGCGCCCCTGCGGCTGCGCGCCCCCTTCCCCTGCTGGAGCTTCCCCGGGATCTGGCGCCCGGGAGAAGGCAGCCACGCAGGCAGGTGGTGACCGCACAGAGGCAAAACCCACCATCCCGACCTACACTCCCACGGCTGGCACCAGCTGGCCTGGAGCCGCGGAGGGGGCCGGCCAGGGGCAGCGTCGTTTCAAATCAGCAAGGCAGATTTGAAAATCTCCCCCACCCCACCGTGGCCTGCAAACTCCGTGGCTCTGGCGCCTCTCACACAAAACCTTAGCCGGCTCATGCCCTGCCCCCCAACCTGACACACACACACACACACTTGCCTTATTTCTCTGGGACACCAGGCTCTTTCCTGCCCCGGTCTGCTCTCTGGAAACTTTTCCTCCTCTTTCCTCAGATAGCTCCCGTTTAGGAAGCCTACTAGGACAAGCCTAAAGTAGCACCCACCACACTCTTTCCTATTGTTTGGTAATATTTTTTAATAGCATCAGTCACTATCTAAAATGCTATATTAGGCCGGGCACGGTGGCTAAAAAACATAGTTCCAATTGCAGGGAAGAATATAAAGTGAAAAGCAAACAAAAGTCATTCTACCTACCTCATTCTACATCCTCCCAATCCTATTCCCAAGAAATAATTTGTTACCTTTCAAAATGGAGTTACGTGTACGTCATGTGTGTATGTATGTGTGTACCTGTATATGGGTATGTCCCTTTTTAAGGAAAAAAAGTGATTTTATGTATACTGTCCTACAAACCTTTTTCCCTTAACATAATTTGGATGTCTCCACATTGGGACCTAAAGGCTTATTTATTTTTAAAATATTGCAAAGAATTTTATTGTATGGATTCCCTACAAAGTATTTAACAGGGACCCTATTAATACAGATTTAAGTTATGACCAATCTTTGGCTATTATAAGCAATGCCGTAATGAACATCTTATACATACATACTGCAGTGAACAGCCTTGCATGTATACATATGTGTATGCAAACATATATCCTCAGAAATAGTATTTTAGAGTCACAAAGTATATGAGTTAAATATTTTATGAGGCTAGGTGTGGTGGCTCACACCTATAATCTCAGTAATTTGGGAGGCCAAGGCAAGGGGATTGCTTGAACTCAAGAATTCAAGACCAGCCTGGGCAGCGTGGTGAAACCCTGTATCTACTAAAAAATACAAAACTTAGCTAGGCATGGTGGTACGCACCTGTAGTTCCAGCTACTCAGTAGGCTGAGGTGGGAGGATCACTTGAGCCCAGAAGGCGTAGGTTGCAGTGAGCTGAGATCGTGCCACTGCACTCCAGCCTGGGTGACAGAGTGAGACCCCATCTTGATCAGTCAGTCAATAAAACTACCTGCTGAAGTGTAGGACCAATGGTTGTTGATATGTCAATTTCTACATTTCTGCATTCTGCAGTAGCAGGTGAGAAGTCCAGGCCTGTCCATGTAGGTATGACAAAGGAAAGAACAACACAACTGGATCATTTTGCTGCCTCCAGGCCCTGTTTCAAAAGCCACACACCGCTTTGGACAGTCCAGCCTGGGTTTCAAGTTTTTAAAAAATTAAGGCTGCTCTCATTCTCCTTCATGTAATTCAGATACTGTTCCAGAAGCTTCTGACCTTTTCTTGTGACAACATAATATTTCAGCCATAGATAGATACAAAAAGGAATGATACTGAATTGCATAAATGCTGGATCTATAATAAATGTTTGTTAGCAAAGACCCTCTAAAGAAAAAGGAACGAATATTGAAAAGTATCACCTATCTCCTCGATTTCCATGACTCTGAGCTTTATTTTAACCTCTAAGAGTTTCTTTTTATTGTTGTTTTGAGACAAAGTTTCACTCTGTCTCCCAGGCTGGAGTGCCTTGGCAGGATCTCAGCTCACTGCAACCTCCACCTCATGTGTTCAAGCCATTCTGCCTCAGCCTCCTGAGTAGCTGAGACCAGAGGTGTGCACCGCCATACCCAGATAAGTTTTTGTATTTTCTGTAGAGACAGTTTTGCAATGTTGTCCAGGTTGATCTCCAATTCCTGGGTCAAGCAATCTTCCCACCTCAGCCTCCCGGGTAACTGGGACTACAGGCACATGCTACCATGCCTGGCTAATTGTTGTATTTTTTTTTCTATTTATTTATTTATTTTTTTGAGACAGGGTTTCACCATGGTCTGGATCTCTTGACCTCATGATCCGCCTGCCTCGGCCTCCAAAAGTGCTGGGGTTACAGGCGTGAGCCACCGCGCCCGGCCCTAATTGTGTTTTTTTGTAAAGACGGGGTTTTTGGCCGGGCGCAGTGGCTCAAGCCTGTAATCCCAGCACTTTGGGAGGCTGAGGCAGGTGGATCATGAGATCAAAAGATCGAGACCATCCTGGTCAACATGGCGAAACCCCGTCTCTACTAAAAATATAAAAAATTAGCACGGTGGTGCGTGCCTGTAATCCCAGCTACTCAGGAGGCTGAGGCAGGAGAACTGCCTGAACCCAGGAGGCGGAGGTTGCGGTGAGCCGAGATCACGCCGAGCCGAGATCACGCCATTGCACTCCAGCCTGGGTAACAACAGCGAAACCCTGTCTCAAAAAAAAAAAAAAAAAAAAAAAAAAAAAAAAAAAAAAAAAGACGGGTTTTTGCAGGGTTGCCCAGGCTGGTTTCCAACTCCTGAACTTAAGCAATCCTTCTGCCTCAGCCTCCCAAAGTGCTGGGATTACAGGTGTGAACCACCACGCCTAACCCACCTTGAAGAGTTTCTGAATTCTGAATTGACAGTCTTAGAGCCCTTAAGCTATTATTCAATATCTTATTATCTTCTTATTCACGGGTACCTTGTAATCAATGCCACTTGGAATGGAAGAATGTCAAATGACAATGCACGAAACATATTATGACCAGTAGTCAGCAAATGGAAGACCTTGTCAATGTGGAGATTCTCTCCAATGCCACCTACTCCTCAGTTTAAAGATCAAACCTCTAAGAGATGCTTATGGTGGGGAGAATGGAAAAAAAAAAAAAAAAGATCAAACCCTGTAACCTGGATGTCGTGGCTGAGGGCCTGTAATCCCAGCACTTTGGTAGGCTGAGGCAGGTAGATCACCTGAGGTCAGGAGTTCAAGACCAATCTGGGCAACATGGTAAAACCCTGTTTCTACTGAAAATACAAACATTAGCCTCGCATGGTGGTGCACACCTGTAATTCCAGCTACTCAGGAGGCTGAGGGAGGAGAATCGCTTGAACCCAGGAGCAGAGGTTACAGTGACCCAAGATCACAGAATGAGACTCTGTCTTATTAAAAATTAAAAATTAAGGCCGGGCATGGTGGCTCAAGCCTGTAATCCCGGCACTTTGGGAGGCTGAGGTGAGTGGATTACCTGAGGTTAGGAGTTCAAGACCAGCCTGACCAATGAGGTGAAACCCCGTCTCTTAAAAAAAAAAAAAAAAAGTCAGGCGTGGTGTCTCAAGCCTGTAATCCCAGCACTTTGGGAGGCTGAGGCAGGTGGATCACGAGGTCAAGAGATCAAGACCATTCTGGTCAACATGGTGAAACCCCGTCTCTACTAAAAATACAAAAAATTAGCTGGGCATGGTGGCGTGTGCCTGTAATCCCAGCTACTCAGGAGGCTGAGGCAGGAGAACTGCCTGAACCCAGGAGGCAGAGGTTGCGGTGAGCCGAGATCGTGCCATTGCACTCCAGCCTGGGTAACAAGAGCAAAACTCTGTCTCAAAAAATAAATTAATTAAAAAAAAAAAACAAAAAAAAAACCTTATGAGATTCTGAATCAAGTGATCGCACTGCCCTTAATGACATTAGAATGATTCACATTTCAAGCAGCGGATTTTTATACAATTGTAAGAACAGCCATGAAAATTTGTTGCATTCCTTTAATATTTTTTTGCACTTGTTAAATTGTGAGAGTAATACACAAATTAAAAATTAAAAATAGCTGGGCACAGTGGCTCACACCTGTAATACCAGCACTTTGGGAGACCAAGGCAGGTGGATCACCTGAGGTCGGGAGTTCGAGACCAGCCTGATAAACATGAAGAAACCCAGTATCTACTAAAAATACAAAATTAGCAGGGCATGGTGGTGGGCACCTGTCATCCCAGTGACTTGGGAGGCTGAGGCAGAAGAATTGCTTGAACCCAGGAGGTGGAGGTTGCTATGAGCCCAGATTGC